TGCTGTTGCCCAGTCACACAGCACCAAACACCACATTTCTCATGGGCTACACCATCCTAATGCTGTTTTCATGCAATAAAGCCTTGCACTCAGTCAAGATAAACAGGTGGAAGCAGCAAAAGTTATTGCAGAGTAAGAACTTCAGCAATTTCAGCATCAACTGTCTGAAAAGCAGCCTGGAAAACACAGAGTCATTTATTAAGCAGTGAAACACTTCCGTTTCGAGCTGACTGGGAGGTTACTTGTTTGACTCAGATGGTGCTGAGCTCTGTACATCTTGAATTTCCAAAAGCATCTTGTTAGCATTGGTAGGACGTGAGAAGAGATTAGTTATTCAGTAAAGAACATCATTCTTGGCTGAGGTTTTATTTTATCCATGTAAGGCAGATACACATAAATCTCTGTCAGCTTTTCCCCCTCTAAGCCAGATCCCAAACCCTGAGCAGCTGATTGATGAACTACTGAGCAAAGAGGCAGAGAGAAAATAGAACATTTTGAGACAGGCAGAGTTTAAGAAATAAAAATAATTACTGTGCAATGGATCTACTGACATTGTCCCTCAGAAATGACAGAAAAATCACCTTAGGTGGGTCTTGGGCACAAGGAGAGTCACAGAGTGGTTTGGGTAGGAAAGACCTTAGAGCTTATCCAGTTCTACCTCCTGCCCTGGGCAGGGACACCTCCCACCAGCCCAGGCTGCTCCAGCCCCATCCAACCTGGCCTGGAACACTCCAGGGATGGAGCAGCCACAGCTGCTCTGGGCAACAGTTTTACACCTGTTTTTCAAGTAACATTACTGTGCCTTCCCAACAACCTCAAACTTCTTCCCTTCCCAAGGCAGAAATCTCTCTCCCACCTTCCACGTGCAGCTCCTTCCCCCGCAGCACGGGAACAGGAGCCCACAGTGCCTGCAGAGGTGGGAGCAGCTCAGCCCAGGGCTGGGATCAGGAGTCAGCACTCCCAGGGAGCAGCTCTGGCTGACACAGCCCCTGCAGGATTCTGCCTCAAGTCCTGCTCAGGGTCAGAGAAGGAAACCTGTCAGAGCCAGAGCTTAGCCCCTGCTCTGACTCAGCTTTGCAGGCAATTCACAGAATTACAGAATCACTGAGGTTGGAAAAGACCTCCAAGACCATCAAGTGGGTCACCAACCTGTGACCATCAGCACCTTGTCAGCTAGCCCAGAGCACTGAGTGCCATGTCCAGTCGTTCCTTGAACACCTGCAGGGCTGGTGACTCCACCACCTCCCTGGGCAGCACATTCCAGTGCCTGACAGCTCTTTCCATGAGAAATTCCTCCTGATGTCCAACCTGAACCTCCCCTGGCACAGCTTGAGACTATTTCCTTTTGTCCTGTCCTTGTTCCCTGGGAGCAGAGCCTGAGCCCACCTGGCTGCACCTCCTGGCAGGAGTTGCAGAGACCAGAAGGGTCTCCCTGAGCCTCCTTATCTCCAGGCTGAGTCCTCACATGTCCCTCAGCCTCTCCTCACAGGACTTGTGCTCCAGACCCTTCTCTGGGATTCAGGACTCCAGGACACATCACACCACGAGGGGCAGTTGGGACAAGCCAGACCTGGAGTGTTCCCACTCCATTTTCAAGCCCTTTGCCAAAGGCAAGGACAATGCCCCCGGCACACACAGAGTCCTGCTCAGCTCTGAGGCTGTCACATCTCCTCCCTGTGCTCCAGGAGACTCTGCAGAGCAGAGCAGAGCTGCTGTGTGTGCACTGCAGCAGGGCTGGCCCCGGGTCAGGCACTGAGCACACCCAGGGGCCTCCCAAGCTGTGTCTCTGCAGAGCACAACTAACACACCTGGGGGGTTGGACTGAGGGATCTCCAGAGGTTCTCTCCAACCCCAACCTGCCAGGGACTCAGGGAATCCCTGCCTTTGCCAGCTCCTGCAATTCCCATGCTATTTGTTATATCAATTAAAAGTCCCAACTCCCCCAAGCTCTAATTACAGAAGAATCTGCTCTCACTCAGCTTCTCTGAGGTTAGTGCCCTCCCGAGCTCAGCAACAAGGGGCTTGGCTTAACAGTCAATATTGATCCTCTTTGCCTTTGGTCCCAGGGTTTTACAGGGGTTTGAAATCACAGACCACAGAAAGCAAGGGCAGAGTAAGAATATACAGTGCATCTCTAGTAGTACAGTATATAACTGTATAGAACAGTACATTAATATATATAATTCTAAAGAACAGAATATATAAAGTAAGAATAAATATATTTTAAGTATCAGTTAGAGGAAAATAGCTCAGGCTCAGCTGGAAGGTCACACTTTCAGGAAGGGACCTTTTCCTTGCATAAGGAACCTCAGTTCAGACAGTGCAACACTTCCCAGCTCTGTCAACCCTCCAAGAAAAACAACCACAACTATGTGATGCAAAATCCACTAAGATTGATTAAGTGCAAGTTTAGGAATCCAAAGCAGCTTCTTTTGAGGAGCTGATGCTCCTGCTGCAGGCAAACATCTCTGGAAGTCTGTTTTTCAGCCCTCCAACTGGTCATTTTTTCCAATACCCAAGTGAGGATGAGCTGGAAGAGGAGGAGGTGTGCAGAATACATCCACAGCCTGAGGCACAGGCCATGCCCTGCCTCCAAGCTGCTGTTTGCACTGGCAAACATGGGCTAATTAGTGGTAATTCCCCTGCAGAGATGTCTCCAGCACATCATGCTTCACCCCAGCAGTGGGAGTAGAGCATAGGAAAACACAGATTAACAGTTCAACAGCTCCATCTTCCCAACTCCTTGTGGGGGAGATCTGCAGCACTGAGGGATGCAAGGAATAACCCACTCAGCTCCTCCTTTATTTCAATTTCATCTCTGAAAAAGCAAAAGCCAAGTGTGGCAGAGACACAGGTTTTGCTGTTTTAGTGGCAGAATGTATTTGTCTACCTCTGCCTGTGCATCCCGTGCCATTCCAGTGTCAGACACATCTCCTGCTCCCCTCCAAGCAAGTGGTTCCTGCATGGAACTCCCCACAGCCACCAGTGCTGCTGCCCTGCCTGCCAGCACAGCTTGTTTCACCAGGGCTTTGGCACCCTCAGCTGGAATGCATCGTGTTTCCACTTGCTTTGGATGGGGCTGAGCCCCCTCAGGCACAGCAAACAGGTCAATCTCCCAGCTCCAGGCCTCTGCAGAGACTTCCACACCAGCAGGGATGAAAGCAGCATCCAACAGTTCTAGAGTGAGCACAGCTCCTTAGCAGTATCTGCTGGAGCTGCCAATGAACACATTTCACTGCATTTCAGGCCCAAAATGCCATCCTCTCAAGGACAGATGCAGCACACACATTTGTATGCTCTCAGGCTCTTTGCTGCACAATTTATCTGGCCTAGGAGCAAAAATTAATTCCTCCATCCTGTACCAGCCAAGGATAAAAACGTTCCCACTGCTCTCCAGTGAGCAGAGGCTGATGCTGCACTCCAGGCCCAGTGCCACCCTGTTTGCTTCCCATGGCACCTGCACAGCAAACAGAACCTGCAGCTATTGGCAGGAGCTCTGCAGTCCCTCCCTGGCAAACATGCCTCAGTGCCTCCTCATTTCACAGACAATCCCATGCTTGTTCCTCGTTTGATATGCATTTCAATGCCACAGAAATGGCATTTCACAGTGTCGTGGAACAGCAGCACTGAGCAGGCACTTCCCCCTCTCTACCTCCTCCCCAACTCAGGAGATGAAAGCAGGAAAATAGTTTTGTTGTCAAATAGGAATAGCAAAATCTCTGAAGGTTTCTATTGCTCCAAATTCTCTCAAAAGAGAAGGAAAGAAAAAAAAATCCTGTGTGCAGCTGTTGGCAGTTCTGGACTGTGTTTTATTTGTGGCTTCTAAACCAAAGGCCAAATACCCATGAAAGGCCATTACTTAATAGCTATAATAGATGCAGTAATTAGTAGTTGGGCTTAATCTGCAAGTCTGAACTGATTTTAGAATAGAATCCCAGGATGGTTTGGGTTTGAAGAACCTTAAAGCTCATCCTCCTGTGTGCAGCTGTTGGCAGTTCTGGACTGTGTTTTATTTGTGGCTTCTAAACCAAAGGCCAAATACCCATGAAAGGCCATTACTTAATAGCTATAATAGATGCAGTAATTAGTAGTTGGGCTTAATCTGCAAGTCTGAACTGATTTTAGAATAGAATCCCAGGATGGTTTGGGTTTGAAGAACCTTAAAGCTCATCCTGACACCTCCCACCAGCCCAGGCTGCTCCAGCCCCATCCAACCTGGCCTACTCCAGGGATTTTTTTTTTTGCTCTGGGCACCCTGTGCCAGAGCCTCAGCACCTCACAGGGAGCAATTCCTGCCCAGTATCCCTCTGTCCCTGCCCTCTGGCAGTGTGAGCCATTCCCTGTGTCCTGTCCCTCCATCCCTTGTCCCAAGTCCCTCTACAGCTCTCCTGGAGCTACTTGAGGCACTGGAAGAGGCTCTGAGGTGTCCCCAGAGCCTTCTCCTCTCCAGGATCCATGTGAAGAACTGAAGATGTCAATCAAAACTTGTTAAACCCACACAAACATTTTGGTTTCAAAGGACCTTCCACCCTCACCCTACAAAATCCTGTTTGACTTGACCAACCCCATCAGTGACACCTCAGCACTGAACTCTCCCTCTCTGCCATGTTCCTACCACAAACTGAGAGGCCAAAAGTAAAACCTGAGTTCCAGAACTCTAGAACAATTCCATTCTGGCTGCTACACCCCTTTTTACTGCTTCCCTTCCAGAGGAGGGCTAGGGCCAAGCCACATTCCTGGGGCTGTCAGTGCTCTCTGGGAGAGCACCTCACCTCCAGGAAACACACACCCACAGCTCCAACAATTCCTCTACGTGCTGGACAGGGCTCTCCTGCAGCAGCTGCCACAGCCACACCTCTGCTCTGCTTCAGCTGTCCTGAGGGGCTGAGAGATTTGTCTGCTTTAAGAACTGGAGAAGACAAAGTGGCCAAATAGAGCCAAACCCCCAACAGACACAGGACTCATTTTTTATAGGAGCTGCCGTAAATTATTTAGCTCAGTATCTTCACTTCCACCTTTCCCCAGTCCTGTCACTGCATGTGAAATGCTGCTTCCAAAACACACATCCCTGTTCCCCTGTATTCACACCTGCATTTAGCATCCCTGTGCTCCCACTGGAGCACATCCTAACCCAAACACTTCTGAGCCACTAAAGACTGATTTCCCTGTGCCTTCTCCCATGGGTTTGGTGGAGGCATTGTCCGTGTTGGTGTTACTGCACACCAGTATTTATACCTCATTTCTCCTTTCCATGGTCACAGCTATGCCTGAAGAAGTTTACTTTTAACTGCTACAGAAAAACCTCACAAAGCAGCAGCCCAAAACAACTCGTTTGGGCCTCGGTCCAGCTCTCTGGCATAACACTTGTCCTGTGAGCACTGCAGCCAGCACTGGAAAACTTGGCTGCCACACCCAGGAAAAGTGGCTCCCAACACTCTGTGTTTACACCAGTAACCAGGCTGAGCTTCCACCAGCACTCCAGGGCTTGGTTGGTCTGAAATGGAGCCTGATGTCAGGAGTTTGCACCACAGACCTACACAGGGCTAAGGATTTCTCCAGTACTGATGGTGGTGAGATGGGATGAGCCAATCTGTATTTATTCTGCCTTCAACATCACTTCTGTTAGAATTAGGAACTGCAATTTGATCTTCTCACAGTACACAAATGTTAGTCCTGAGTTAAGAGACAACAAACTACACTTGAAACCTTCCTTTCCCTGCAGAAAAGCCCCGTTTGTGCCAGGCCCTCTCAGCACACACTCACCCAGGACTTCTCCAAACCTCCCAGCTCTGCCCCTCGAAGACAAAGTCAAACTGAGGCCCATTCTGATGGGAAGGGACCTCAGGAGGTCATTCTGTCCCAAATTGTGCTCAAAGCAGAGCAGTTCAGCCAGGAGATGACAAGGCATAATCTGCTTAGCTCCCAGGAGCTACTCAGGAGGCAAAGAAAGACAAGAAGGAGCTGATGGCAACTTTTTCTAACCAGGATGAGGTATTTGTAAAGGTTTGTTATAAAAAGCACAGAGAATAGATTATAATTCCTCCCCCCCCACATTGTCCCTGGCTTTGGGGACATCACACAATGTAGGGATCAGTGGGTAATTGCTCACACTCCTACCCCAGTGGCTGTGAGAAGGCTTCACCCTGCTGTTACTCACTGCTTGGTGGATGTCAGCCTTCACTGCCTCACTCAGCATTCCCTCGAACACAAAGGAGTCACCAAACTTCTCTGCCTGTGGAAGGAACAAAGGATTCAGCCACTATGTCATCAAAGCAAAGTTATTCTTAGAGCCCCACTCACATGTACAGCTTTGTTTCACCAAGGAGAAGGAAGTTCTAACAAGGATTCTGAGCTCTCTTTCCAGGAGGCTCTTTTGGAAGGGGAGAGAAGGGGTTTTACCCCTGGCTGGGGTTGTTCAGCAGCCCCTGGCAGCTCACAGGCTTCTGCACAGGGTTTTACTTTGAGCACAGCTGGAAAGGAGGATACCATTCCTCACCAAGACTGCAAGAAGTCTTAGCATATGACCTTAATCTTCATCTATTCAATTTCAGAAAGGAAAGCGAAGAACACAATACTTCATTTCCCTCCTGCCCAACCTGAAAGACTCAGAGGCAAATAGACTTATCCCCTGCAGGGCCCCAAATCTCACTGACAGCCTCCAGCAAGGGCTTTTTTTTTTTTTTTAAGGTTTGTAAAAATATATACTTTGGGTCCAACAACACCTGGAGGGTTTTGTTTTCAGCTTTCTATTCACTTCCAGGTTTCATCTGCCACTAGAGTTCTGCTAGTCCTTAGCAAAATAAAACCAAGCAGGAGGTTGCCTGTTTCCCTGCAGGAAGTGATGTGGACATGACTCCAATACACAAGAACCTGCTCAGCTGCATCCCAGAATCCTGCAGAATTAGTGCTGAGTTTGTGTGTCCAAATTCAGCCTCTGCCACGTGAGGAAGGAAGGGACACCCAACACCACCACCAAGTGCTGTCTGCAGCTGAGCCCACCTGATGCAAGGAGTGCTCAGAAAACACTCTCAGGCACATGGTGGGATTCTGGGTGTCCTGTGCAGGGCCAAGAGTTCGGTTTGATGATCCCTGTGGGTCCTTCCCGCTCAGGAGATCCTATGATCTCACATTTCCATACCACTGCACACATGCTGATCCCAGCAGCTGCTTCCAACAAGCAAACCTTGTTCCAACTCCAAATAGCTAAGGAACTTTTTCTCACCATTGTCAAGCTCAGGAACAGAAATAGCAGATAAAAGCAGCCCTTCATCCAACCAGAAGGATTCTGCCTCCCAAATGAGCACCAGTTTACCCAGAGAATTCAGCAAAGTGCCTCCTCTGAGACCTCATCATGACTGAGGCTTTTGTTTGCCTAAAAGGCCTGTCAGGGCTTGGGAGAAGCTGCGTAGGAACAGTCACTGTCAGGCAGGAGCAAAGCTCCAGGCACAGGTGGCTTCTTACTGGGGAGAACCTGAACAGATTCTTTCTCAGTCCATTGTTCCCAGTAATATGCACAAAACTATTATTACACTTGCTATTGTATCCTCCTGAGGCAGGAGGCTCTGCTGCCTGAAGGAGCCTGCAGAGCCCTTGGTATCACAGCTAAACCCCTTCTCCCTGTTCCTCTAAAATAAGGAAATCTAACCTAGTTGTGCTGGGACAAAGAGCTGCAGGACCCAAAGATCCCAAATTCCAAGCAAACCAACCCAAAAATCCTGCACAGACACCTGTGAGCATCACCCAGGCTGCAGGAAGGGCATCAATGCAGGTGTTCAACCTGACAACCTACACCTGAATGCCCTTTCACACCCCAGAGCAGCAAGGCAAGACAATTTCTTCTCTCCACTGCTTGCATCAGAAATACCTGAGCATGCAAATCCCAAACAAGTATTGTGATGCCCTTCAAAAAGAGTCCCAGCCTGGTTTGGGTTGGAAGGAACCTTAAAGCTCATCCCATCCCACCCCCTGCCATGGGCTGGGACACCTCCCACCAGCCCAGGCTGCTCCAGCCCCATCCAACCTGGCCTGGAACACTCCAGGGATGGAGCAGCCACAGCTGCTCTGGGCACCCTGTGCCAGAGCCTCAGCACCTCACAGGGAGGGATTAATTCCTAATAGCCCATCTAACCCTACTGTCTATCAGTTTAAAGCCATTCCCCCCTGTCCTGTCACTCCAGGTGCTTGGAAGTAATCTCTCTATGCAGCATTCCAGGTGGGGTCTCAAAGTTTTCCACAGGGATTCCCTCAGCACAAACAAGACACCAGGAGCCTGAATCCCCTTCTGCCTTACCTCAGTGATGTACCCAGTGGCATTCACGAATCTCTCAAAGTCCTCATTGCTGACCTCGTACTGGTCCATGTAGAAGCTGTCAATGTGGACTCTTCTGGCAGGGCCCTCTCCATCCTGCTGGATTTCAGGCTCATCAGTGCCCATGGTGAACACTCCCCCTGGAATTGCCACCATCTGCAGAGCAAACACCACCCAAGAGGTTACCAAAACCAAACACTGAGCAGTCTCACACTGCTCTCACTCCTCCTCCACCTCAGCCTTGCAGGTGCTTTTGTCCTGAGCAGCATTTCAGTGACCACCACAGCACAACAAAACAGCAACAGAGACATCTGGACCAGCACCTGTTTGGAGGAAGGAGCAAGCAGAACCTAAATTGAGCACAAACCCCCATTTGCAGTCCTTTCTACATGAAGTTTGGGCAATGTTTGTGCTCTAAGGAGGAGAAACATATTTCCTGGGGGCTTTTTTTAATGTTACAGTTTACTGTTCTTTATGCAGTTACACCACTTCCAGCATAGCAAATGATCAGTAAGTTCACAGCCCTGATCTCCAGGGCAGCTGGAGTGTTTAACATGATCTTACACATCCCTTACACATTCTTACACATTCTTCTCCTCCTGCTTGGGTCTCTGCCAGCACAGTAATGGTACCAAGCAATAAGCAATCCAGCCACAGCAGTGACTGTGGATGTGCACCAAGCAGGGAAGCACAGTAACAGAGCCACACACAGCCCCGCGAAGGGGAGCACTCTGCAGCTCCTCTTCCTGGTGTTAACCAGAACAGGTGGAGCAGGAAAACACCTAGATATCTCAGCTTTGCCCAGGGAGCAGCAGCCAGGGCAGATGCAGGTGGGAGCACGGGAAGGTGTGGGCACCACTGCCCGGGCACCTCTCCATCTGAGGCTCATCCAAAGGGCACAGCAGACCCTCCACGGGGGAAAACGAGACGGGGCCATTAGTACCCATGCCCAAGCTGAGTTTCTCAGGGGTTCACTCCACGAGAGCGGTGAGATTACTTCAATTTCAGTTAATTGAAG